ATTGTTTTAAGTACATATTATGTTCATACTAAACTAAAACTTACTTCAGTTTAATTTGATATTGGATAGAAATCAGGAAAAATTATATTTTTTTTTTAAAATATTTATTGTTACAAAATATGTCTTGTATTCTATTTTAGCCTTTAGGGAATGTATTTTACATTAAATTATGTTTTCACAAACTCATACATTTAGAAAAACATTGTTATTATAAATAAAATATTAAAATGTATTATAATATAAATAAAATTAATGAATACAATTAAAAGATAATTTTATGYATTGATTTAAGTTAGCATTCTGCTCAAAAATTAAAAATTGTTAACATACTATTTCATTGCCTCATAAATATTATTTAAAAGATATGAATATTCTTTTAATCTTTCCAACTCATCTGCTGTTATTTGAGTTTTACTTACAATATTATTCAAACAATCAATATCTATTTTCAATGTATCCAATGCTTTACCTAATTTACCATTAAATGAACACAAGTGTTGAAATTTTCCACTAAGGGATAATTGTTCAAAATATTGTATCAAATCATTATGACTAAAGGTTTGGTCAATTTTCATTTCCAAATAATCTTTTATAATAATTCTAACTTTAGGCTGTTTAAAGAGCACAGAAATTAAGCTATTTTGACTTTCAGTAACACTGGAAAAATACACTATAGTTTCAATAGCCCATTGTTTTACTAATGGATGATTATCAAACAAGTACTGAAGGAAAATATCCATTATTAGTTTTTCTTGAAAGCTTGGAAGGTGTAATAATATTGATCGAATTAACCGTAGTCTACATCGCTTCATTTCTGTTGTATCATCATAAGCACAGCTACTCAATATTTTAGTAGTCTAACAATCAACAATAATAAGCAAATACAAAATTACTAAATATTTATGGTAATAATTATTTTATTTWATGTATTATTTTCCATCATAATTTAATTTAATATTTTTGTACCTTTGGAATAATTGTTTTTAGTAATTTTTCGGAACCAATACTGACTTCAACTAATGCACATAARAATTCTGGAGGGTATTCATCATTGATACAACTCCATAAATATATTATATCTTCATTTAAGTGTTCATAATTTGTTTGCTCTGGTAATACACTTATGATCTTTATCTATAAAAAATAGCATGTTATTAATATAATATTGTTTATTTAATTTCWTAAACATGCTAATAACTGTAAATCAAAATTAAAATTAATAAATAAAAGAAACTTTAATTTTGAAATAGTGAAACACAAAAAGTTTTCAGTACCATTTCTGATAATTTATTATATTTTGAAAGTGTTGGAACGTGAAGTATTCCAATAGTAGATTTCAGACTTTGTAATTTTAGTTGAGGACAACAGTTTACTAATTGATTTTTATTTGCTATTAAAAAGAAATGTCTTTTCAACAACATTTCAAGATAAATATGCTGTGGACATTGAGTAAAACTCGGAAAAACAATTAATGCTTCAAAAAGTCTAGCTAATTTTGAAAATTGCAAGTTACATAAATCTGGTGACAAATATCTGAAACAAAATTGCAAATTATTTGTATGTATTTTWAAAAAARGAAAAAATGGAATCCAAACCTCATAATAATTATCCATAGATCAGAACTAAACATGGCTGGCCAATATTCAGTATTGAGAATATTTCGAATTAATATTTTTTCAACATTTTCAAACAAACTGTAATCAGACACTAGTATTACTGACGCTAAATTAATCAGTAGATCTTCGTAGATATCTAAATTGTAACAACATATTATAGAGTCTGTAGATCTAATCAAATTAAAAACCGTGTAAATAATCTGATGAGCTTGTTGATCACAGAAAGTTTTTGTTAAACGTTTTAACAGCAACATTGCAATGTACATAGCAGACATCTTTYGACTTGAAGAGTTGCTATTAATTATTTCTTGACAGCTAGATTGAAATGTCTAAAATACATTRAAATCATTTAATTTAACATAATCATTTAAAAGTTTAGTTTTTTTTTTAATTTAGGCTATTGCCTTATTAACTATTTTGTTGTTAATTATAAACACATGAAAAATATTTTTAATTACCTCCACAAACGTATCATCTAATAACAACACTAACTGATCAGCAAATTGAGATAATCTATCTTTGACAGCAACAGCATCTTGTGTATCAGATAACCAGTAGCTAGAACAACAAATAAAATAATATAAATCTTATCTGATTATAAGGATATTTGTTAAATATCTTACCCATTTAAGAATAAAATAAACTCTAATAATATGTTATGAGATTTTGATACACGGCCATATGAGCAAAGCTTAACTAAAACACTCATCATATATGTTGATAATTTCAATGAGGCTTCATCATTGTAGTGGACAGATGAGATTATTTTCTTAATTTCAGAGCATAGAAAATCAATTTGTTCATCATTAATGATATAATCTTTTAACTCCGTAGCATACTTTTTTAACATAGTAATATATGCTTTCCAATGAGTAGCCATAATTTTGTTACTCGCATTATATACTGATTCAGCACCATACCAAATGTTCTGTAATACTGTAAACATACATGAATTAAAATTTTTATATATATATATATATATATATTTGTATTCAACTATGTATTATCAAAATTAAACAATAAATATATTGTTACTTATAGGTTATTACAACTATCTCGATAATATAATATTATTTTACCTTTTTGCAATAAGCTTAAGTCTTCATTCAACAAAAAATCAAATTTCACTTTTTCTAAGATACTGAAAAATAATATTTGTATTTCAGACGCTTTTTTGAATAATTCAGTAAGCAATTCCTTTACATTCATAATAAAACTGCCATAAATCAGATTGCTTTCCGAACAATGYTTAAATGAAGCAATTACACCTTTTTCRTACGATAAGAATCCACTAACTATCCTGCTTGATTCACAAGATTCATCCTGGATACACTCCAAAGAGTTTTTCCCATTGTTCAGTATTTCAATGCAACCCTGAAAATCATTGAAATGTTTTATGTTTAATTGTTTTCTTAGAAATGATTGATATTATAGTACCTGCAACAATGTATGTACAGATAACTCTTTACTTCCTTCATAGTTCGAATCGCTAACGATTTGTTTTATRTCGTTCAATTTCTATAATCAGGTAAATAATTAAACAATTAAAATATTTTTTAGACCCGTTATTAATTCATAATTAAATAATTAATAATCACAATACTTTTATCAGATCTGTGTAGCAACAGTCATCTAAAAAGATTACTTCAGTACTGCCGTCCATTGTTTTTTTTTKATATTCATCAATCATATAATAGCCAAAAGACTAATAGAATAGMGTTTTTAAAATGTAYATGCTTCAAGATTAATATTGCTTAAAACACGAATAATTCCATAGATATTTATTATTAACGACAACTTCTTGCATACCTAGACGTATAGTGCACAGCAGTGAAATAATAGCGAACCAAACAAAACTCTTAAATATTGATAACGAAATGGCGCGATGTATTCTTATCACTAATACACCATACAATAGGCATTAAGAGGACGCTACACCCGCATGTGTTGTCTCCGTTTTACAAGTGCTTAAC